GTGTGCAAGACGCGCTCTTCGCAGAGCGCACCACTCTAGAACTCGCAGCGGAGGTGGCGCATCACCCCGATCTTAGTCATGACACTACTGCGCAGCTTGTGGTTCTTCTTTTCGATATAAAAAAAGCGTTTCCTAGTGTCAATCGCGCGGCAGCTTTTCGTTTGTTTCAACGACACGGTTTTCCTTCTTCGTTGATTCAGTTGTTGGAGTCCTTGCGCGCCGGTACTCAGTACCAGGTTTCTACGCCAGAAGGTCTGTCTGACTCCTACATGCTTGCTTCTGGTTTTAGAGAGGGTTGCAGTTCGAGTCCGTGCGTATACACAGTGTTTCATGACTGTGCCATGCGGGAGTTTGCAAAGCGGGCTCGCCGTCTGTCTCGCACTCATCCGGAGTTTTTTGTCGACTTGCATTCTTGGGCTGGGCGGCCCCGTAATCGCCGCATGAAAAAGCATCAGATTCCGTCTCTGTCTAAAGTGCTGCAGTCTGGACATGACTTGACACCGGTCTCGCTACTCGATGTCACTTTTGCTGATGACACCTCTCTTCTTTGTCGGGGGGCTGGCAGATCACAACTTGAAGACTTGCTTGCGAACACTTTACATGAATTTGGTGAAACCATCAAAGCAGGCAAAACCAAACGCCTCAAAGTTGCACGTGGGGATGTTGACCCGCATTTTGTTCCCAGTGCTCGCTTGTTAGGCTGGCTTTCCTATGCGGCTGATTATTCGGTGGAGGACCGTAAGCGCCTTATGGCAGCCAAACAGCTTTGGTGTAAACTTATTCGGCAGATTCCGAGGTTCGGTCTACCCCTTTTAGGCCAACTCATCTATGCCGGAGTGCTAAGAGCGCTCTTGTTTGGTACCGAGTCCAGATGTGTCAGCGGCCTCACTATCCGCAAGTGGCAGTGTTTTCTTAATGGGATTGCGCGTTTTGCTTGTAGGCAGAAACTCCAAACCATGCAAGAGATCAAGTGACTCAACAAGACATTACCAATAAATTAGGATTCAAGAAAATCGCCACCTATGTCGGGTCCGGACAATTGGCATACCTTGGGCACCTTGTGCGCCTTCCAGAGGGACGCATCGAAAAGCAGATGCTGTTTTCTTGGTTACCCTGAGAGTCCATGCGCGCGTCCTTCAAAGGTGCTATCTCTTCCCGTCAGACTTTCTGGAAGCGCCTTCGAGAGTTGTTGGCGCTCTCGGACCTTCCTGAAACACAGTGGCAAGAGGGCTGGGTGGCCCTGGCACAGAAACAAGGTGGTGTTGTTTGGACTGCCTTGATTCGCAAGTGGGTTCGTTGGCAGGAATCATGGCTCAGCAGGATACCTGGAATGCTCGACACACCGACGCTGCGCGTCGAGGTCGTCAGCAAGCTGCTTACGATAGGGCCTTTCAAGAGTTAGGCGTGCGTAGGCTTCCTTGTGGTAGGTACAAGTGTGGTTATGAGGGCTGTTCCATAGTTCAACCCCTGCAGGGCATGCGACAGCACACAACAGTTTGCAGACCGTTAAGTGTCGAACAACGTCAAACACGTTCACTGGCTGCTACGGCTTCTGCTCACGCTGCACCTTCACAGCCTCCGGCTGCAGCGGCTCAGGTTGAAACTTTGGATCATGTGCCCACTGGTCTCAGAACTCGTTTGTTGAGAAAACAAACGCGCCCCGCTGCTTTTGAAAAAAATGCTTGTCAGGCCACAGTGCGTGATGTGAATGCATGTACTTCCTTTGACATCAAAGCCACCTTGGATCATTATTATGCCTCACAACACATGACGGGCAGATATCATGGTGCTCAATTACAGCGTGCCATTACGCTGACCGACTTGCCGCCCCCACAGGCTGACGAATCGCTTCGCCCAAATCGTGTTGTCACAAACGCCTCGTACTTTTCCACGCTCTCATTGTGGCACTCAGTTTAGTGTTCCTAAAGCTGCCGGGCGTCACTCGGTCGAATGTGGAAAAAGGCGACAGCGCCAACACTTGCCTTTAAATCTCAAGCAGTGGCACGACTTGCCCCTGGAGCCTACTTGCTAACCTTGCTTTGCGCATCTAGGGATTGCAGCGTGTCCAGTGCGGTTGTGTTTGCCAACATGTTCATTTGATGTCCCTCCCTTTTGTTGACGATGGTTCTTTATTGCCATGCGAGTGAAGATTTGCTAGTTGGTTTCTTGTGTTTGTTGGCCATGTCGGCGCAAGCTGTTTGTGGCCCTCTCTTTTAACTTGCACAGTGCACCATGGCTAGTGCCTTGGATATTCTTCAGAAAGCTCAAAGCCTTCAAGAGGGAGACACATCGCGCCTCAACAAGCGGCCCAGATCCGCTGCTCCCGCCTCCTCAGCTGCCTCTAGTCAAGAATTGACCGCTGTGGTTGAGCGTGTGATCCGATTGTCTCTCTCCAATGCTGAAAAGACTGAAGCTGTCGCCAGCGCGACCAATTTGGTTTTGCTCGTGAAACAAGACTCGGATGTCCAACAGATTCAGTCCCAGGCCACTCTATGGGTTAATTCCAAGCCAGAATGGCGGCCGGGAGCTTCTGATAATCGTCCGCGCGAGTTGGGTGAAAAGCGGGACCAACTGATGCAGAATGACACCACTTTGGAAGGCGACCCTGTCAAGAAGGCCCTTCAGCATCTCCTCTCTTTGTCGACAAGTGATCTTTCACGTTGGCTCTTTCAAACCCCGTTACGCTGAACCCAAGAGTGGACGGGTTTGGGTCTGGGAACTCTCATGTTCACACATTTCCGGAGGACACTCGTCGAAGCCCTTGATGCTCTTTGCAAAACCATTGACAATTCTCGCTGGAAGGTGGCGCCTCATCGTTGGGGTCAGTCTGGCCTCCACAAGGCTGTTTGGGAAGATTTGAAGAAATTGTCCAGCTCACGCCAAGGGGCGTGAGGAGTTGGCTGCCGGTGCTTTCATTGTTTTTGCATGTCGAATTGGGCGCAGAGATTGGTGCAAGCATTGGGATCGGATAGATTTGGTGCTTCTAGGCTGGCTTTCTTCTTCGGCTTGAGGAGATGGCAATATCTGTGCTTTTTTCTCCCGTAGTACAGTCAGGTTTGTGGCGGGCTCTCGGCTTGATGGCAGCTACAATTCTGGATGATATTTTGCTTGCTCTACATTTTGCTTAGCAGCTACGGTGCTTGACGTTTGGCTTATACCCGGATGTCTCTTCTCACTCTGGCTGATTCGTGGGTTCTTCCTTGGCTCCAGGAGTGCTCACTTTGGTGGCTCTTTGTGTTTGGCGTGAGCTTCTTTGTGTTTATGGATATTTTGCAGCGCCTCTGTGGCGAAGCAACCTGCTGTTGAAACTGTCGGCAGCAGGAACGTGATCCCACGGACACCGATGGGATCTTCGCTCCTGGATCGGGCTCTTTTTGGATCTTCTTCCTGACTTCAGGTGTTGGCTCTCATGGGCCTGCGAAACCACCTTCTATGCATGTTCTTCCAGGCATGTTTAATACGGTCGAACGTTGTTTGGTGTTTTTTTGGGGTAGTGTGTAGGGGGTTCAAGAATTTGTAGGACACATATAGTGGCAGTTTTGGATGCCCTCCCTACTTGGAGGCACAACGCTCGTTCTCCGACGGCGGCCGCCCTTGGCGACAACTGGTTTATCAAGTCGCCCCGTGGGGTTTGCCCCCTGGTTTTCACACCTCTGTTCAGGCATCGCCCATTCGTGCACCGACACAGAGTCTTAAGGTTTCCTTCACCCAAAAAGCTCAGCCTATCAACTTTTCCATGGAACACTTAGACTCCCTTCCAGACTGCCGTCTTTAACTTCTGAAGCCGACCTTGTCGTCTGCAACATTTTCCCAAGTTCCCTTCAAAGGTGTTCCCCCATTCCTCCACCGCCGCAAACTGAGCCCCTGCGTCGATGGCGCTTTCCACAGAAGCGACCCGCGCAGAAACGACTCTTTAGACCCCCTCCAAATCGGCTTCCGATCGTTTCACCTCGGTTTGGATGAAGAAGTTGCCTCAAAATCAATAATACCTTCTACTATGAAGGCAACTTTCCGTGCAGTGTTTGTCATGGTCTTTTTACAACCGGTTCCGGTCTCGCGACTCATATTGAAGTTAGTCGCCCGGAGGGTACCTTTCGCGAAAACGGTTTGAAATGTACGCTGCCTGCGTGTCTTCCCCTCCCATCATAATGTCGACCATGCCCCGGACTCTATACTGCAGAAATTTGCCCCGACTGTAAAAGTGTGTTCCCCGGATGCCCAAGATCATCCCATCGGACCGTTTCCGTTTTCCTCTCACTTGTCCTCTCGGTGTCCAGCTTGGTCGTCCTCTGCCTGAGATTTGTGCCACTCCGTTAACCTTTAAGCATGATCGTAATGCTTTTCACATGCGTGACTTCCCGATCGCCGCTTTTCCTGCGCAGCAATGAGTTGCCGTAGTCCGTCCCTAGTTTTGCCGCCATGCTCCGTGGTCGGTCCAGCGCTCCAAGCTGCGGTGAATTTGACCGACTCCAGAAGTCACACGGGCGACTTGTGCTTCAAGTCGCACATCATCAAGCGTCAGACACCTCCCGTCGATCCATTGTCCTGTTTGTCAAAGGAGACGTCAAGAACGAGCCCAGTGCACGATGCACGACTTGCGGAACTGAAAACTCCCCAAGGAAGTATGGCCCCCAGAACGACCGGTACCTTGGCGGGAACAGGTGGGTCAGTATAGTTTGTTGCCAGTCACATCACCCGCGTTTGTGCTGCCATGCCTGAGCTCACCGACACAGTACAAGTCGCCAACTTGACAAGCGCTGTACTTGGAAGATCTTGGAAGCAGTTAATATCAGTTAATCAGTTAGTCATGGGGAACCTGTTGAGGAACCGCAATGGCCTTTCATTTGTGTGTTTCCACCGTCGGAAATGGCATTTTGATTGTTGGTTCGTGTGCGCTGCTCAGTGAAATCCAACCCAAACAAACCAGTTTTAATTCCATACAGTCCATCCCAATCCAAAACAATCCAAATTTGATACATTGCAATCCAATCCAGCCAAATCCAACATAATCTGATCGAAGGAAATCAAAAAATCAAACCGACGCACCGGCGCATGTACATGACTTCGAAGCTGACAAAGCAAACTCGCCATTCCTGAACTGTGTTGCTAAAATCAAAAGGGTTAAGCAGATACCTTTCTTCATGGCGCAAAGAAACCCTAGTCAAAAGCAACGCTCAAATTAGATCCCAGCGGTCGATTCGGCTTGTTTTTTTGTTATTGATTTATTGGTTTGATTGGCAAACAATCTATGCAGCGCATTTAGCTAAGTTTTGCTAAGTTCAAGAAAGCTTTTGCTAACCTTAGCTAAGTTGTGCTAAGTTCCTGTAAGCTTTTGATAAGTGCCTACTAAGTTCTAAAAGTTCTTGAAGTCTTCTTAAGTCAAGAGTACCCTAGTAGCACCATTTCCGCGTCAGATGCCAAAAGTCAGAGTGCAAAGGTGGGGGGCCTTGAGCGAGTGGAGAAACAGGCAGACAAAGCCGCTTACGTGGCGGAGGCTGCTGGCCCTGCAAGTTCAAGTGGCGTGCCCTTAGACAGAAGTGGACCACATGGGTCCGCAGTGCGAAGCCCTCGCGACGAACGACCGGCAGAACGCCCTCTGCCCTGGCGAACGGGTCTGAGCCTACTTATCCCAGACAGGGTCTCGTGTTGCGAAGCTTGAAGAGTTCAAATCCGACAGATGTAAAGCGCTCAAGAAGCGGTGTCTAGACGTTGTAAACGGGACCGCAAATTCTTTATGTCCTCAAGGATGCTTGGAGGTCGTGAGCCCTTGTGTGATGTCATCCGCCACTTTATCAACTTTGCGCCACCTTCGGTGGCCACTTATGATGGTGTACTTGGCGAAGTTGGCGCGCGCGACATTTTTGCTGATTTCGAGGATCTTGCACTTTCAGTCCCCTCCTCAGGACTCACTGCCTACTGGGCTTACACCGGAAAATTCCGAGCTCCCTCCCTCTGGTCCCAACCAGATCGAGGTCGCTCAGCTGGAGTCTGAGCAGCCAGATTTTGCCCAGGAGCTTGTGTTTTTTGAGCCTAAGATAGGTTTGAAAACGTTCCAAAACTATTTCCAAAATGTTTTTTTCGAATATCATCGCACATTATAGGAACAGGTGCCGGAGTTTTTACATTGCATAAGTTAATCCCAACTCAGCAAATATCTGAGCCTTAATTGATTTGTGTTAGCTGTCGCACTAAAGCCCAAGTATGTTTTTTTATGAAAGCAAAGGTATAAGATTACTAACATTTGTTTCAACAGCAAAAGAAACAAATCACCATCAACGCGTTATAGTTTGATATCTTCGGTGAACAGTGATATTGATACATTAACGCACACTACAACTTATGTTTTTAAATATGGTGAGTTAAGTGTTGAACTATTTTCTATGTACAGTGCATTTCCGTGGCCAACACGACAGTAGATGTTTAGACTCAAGTTTAGACCATTTTAGACCGATAGAGGATGACGTTCAGTGAAGCAGTGTTCTGATTACAGGATGGACTCACCGGAAGCGCGTGGGGTGACTGGGCCAACTACACCGCTTCTCCATTGCGCGCGTTCGAGAATGAGTTGGGTGTTCAGGCTCCTGTGGGATTTTGGGACCCCGCCGGATTCACGGCTGATGGCAGCGTAGAGGACTTCAAGCGCCGTCGTCAGACTGAACTCAAGCATGGTCGCATCTCTATGCTCGCGACGATGGGATATATTACCCCGGAGAAACTTTCCGGCAGCGTGAGCGAGCTGAAATTTGAACTTTGCAATTGAAAACTGAATGATCAGAACGCGCAGTTTCCAATAGTTTTTTAGATATTGTTTGGCAAACTCGGTTCTAACATGTTTTTAAAGCGTTGAGGGATCATGCGTGCTTTGCTGAAGGTTCAATGATTGTGAATTTAGAAGAATATAGTGTAATGTAGGTTTTCTGACTGACCGGCTGAGGATCACTGGAAAGCTGCCGGGCTACTTGTCCCCATCGGCCGGATTGAAATTTGCCGACGTGCCCAATGGACTTGCAGCAATCTCCAAGGTGCCTGCAGCAGGCTGGGGACAGATCTTGGCCTACATGGCATTCTGCGAGGTTTCCCAGGATCAGTCTCCTGGCACACCTGCTGCCGCTGGAGATTTTGGTTTCAAGGTCTTGACTTCTTCCGATCCTGCGGAGAAAACCAAAAAATTGTCGGCGGAACTTGCTAACGGAAGACTTGCGATGATGGCGATCATTGGCATGTTCTTCCAGGCAGGTTGAACACTGTCAAACATTTTTTGTGTGTGCATGGTCAGTGGAAGACTTGAATGTTGTGGAGCATGTTTCAACAGCAATGATTCAGCAATGATTGTAATATCCAGATGATGAATTGTGCACAGTATTGCTGTATAGTTTTGCATATCACCGAGAGAGAGAGAGACAGAGAGAGACAGAGACAGAGACAGCGAGAGAGAGAGAGAGAGAAAGAAAACCACGTCCTTCTTGGTTCACAGGATGGGCTCACTGGCAGCGCTTGGGGTGACTGGGCGAACTACACTGCTTCCCCTTTGCGCGCGGAGCCTGTCAGCGGAGCAGCCGCCGCAGCTGCTGCTGCCAAGGCAGCAGCTGCTGCCAAGGGAGCAGCTGCTGCCAAGGGAGCGACGGCCACAGGATCGGCAGTGGCAGGTTCGGCTGGTGTGGGATCTTTGAAGGAGAAAGGTGTTTCAGGCAAGGGAAGTCCTGAATTCGACCCATCCACCCAGATTGGCGCTATGGCCCCACTGGGTTTCTTTGACCCCGCCGGTTTCTGCAAGAAGGGCGACGAAGCTGGCTTCCGAAACCTGCGGGCAGCCGAGATCAAGCATGGCCGTGCTGCCATGATGGCTGCACTTGGAGCAGTGGTGCAACACTACGTGAAGTTCCCAGGCTTTGAGTCCGTGCCAAGTGGCTTGGCCGCTGCTGTCACACCACCCGGGAGCTATGGCTTCATTGCTTTGTTCGCGGTGTCTGGAGCGTTGGAGCTGGGCCTTTGGACGGAGAGCGACGACAAGGAACCCGGAAACTTCGGTGACCCAGTGGGATTCAACCAGTACACTCAAGAAATGAGGGAAACTGGGTTGCACTTCTTGGTAAGCCTGTTGGTAAATCGTTTCTTTTTTTTTAAGGAAATATTCTTTTCCGTGCAACTTGAACTGGCACATGCGCAGAAGAGGTTGGCACTTTGACTCTTGGATATCAACTTGCCTAGACCTGCTCATGAGTGGTTTCCTTACCATAATGAAGATTGTCTAAGGAGCGAGAAATCAACAACGGCCGCTTTGCCATGTTTGCAGCGCTTGGTATCATTTCTGCAGAGCTGTACACTGGCAAGGATGCCATTGAGCAGTTCGGGCTGTAGATCGTTTTGGCAAAAACCGCCATGAACCACCCAAGGTGACATCATTTCTACAACTTTGTTACTTTGTCCTGCAATGTCCTGCATTCATTCAGTCCGGGTGGTTTCGTGCATGTTAAGACTTGTAAGTGTCTTGAATGCGCTTCAGCACAACCTTGGTCTGAGGAGACCATTCTTAAGTGCGTAGCAGAAACAAGAGAAAGGCTGTCACACGCGGGCAAGCAGTATTTGTGGCTCTAGTTGGCCTGTCACAAGTAGATACACCCTTGAAGATTAATATGGCTCCTGAAAATGGACCTTTGGAACACTAGCTGCCTCTACAAACCGGTGGTTTTCAGGTTCCTTGTTAATCTTCCAGGGAGTAGGACTCAGTGTTGGGTTTTGACCACCATTTCCATGCATTGATCCGAGTTCTTTTCCTCGAAGCACGCATGATTGGAGGATCAAAACGAAGCTTCAACCTAACAAAAGGCTTTGACTTACGGAACGAATCCATAAGCCAAGGACCTATCAAAGATGCTAGGCGTACACTCCCGAAAACTCACATGGACCCTGGTGGTGTTGTTTTCGTTTCGCTTGTTTTCCTCTACCAACTCAGTGTTTTTTCGGATGGTCGTTGTATATTCTACGCCCGGCTGACGGTGACGCAGGCTGCTTGGAAGGCGAAGGCTGCGATCGACCCAACATCTCGCTGCCGAAGAGTCAGGAGCGCACGATGGGAGTGACGAGTGGCGAGTGGCGAGTGGCGAGTCTGACTCGCGGTGAGAGTGGAGGCCATGGCCGGGAACACGGTGAGGACCTGAGGACCTGAACACCAGTCGTACTTATAGTTGGACTTCAGAACTGGTTGTGGATTGGATGAACAAGCGGAACAAGGCTGAATAAGGGTGGCTGGATCCTAAGGCATTTTGTTGTGGGGGTTCACTCCCTCATTCCCCAAGTCAGGAAGTTCGGGAGTTTTGCTGGAACATCTGGATTGAATTGATGAGTCGACGTCCTGTGGCACGTCCGGTGTGGCCGTACCGGAGGACATGTTTTTTCAACATGGGCTTTCCTTCCTGGACATGTGTTTGTGGTAATGCACCTTGCTGCCGATCTTGCACCAAGGCCAAACAAACTAAAATAAATAAAACGGATTGAAGTACTTGTTGGGTTTTCGGACAAGCAGATGAGCAACTCCGTGCTTCTGGCCCTCAACCACAGTCCATTCGAGCCCCAACAGCTTCCATTCTCTCTATGGATGATGGATGCACCAACCAATTCTGCAAGTGCTGCACATCATGGACCATGTTCACCCAATTCCGGAATTGGCCATGGATCTATGTTGCGCATGTTGGAGGACTTCAGATATCTATATTAAAAAGTAAATATTATCATACATATTATCCATTATAGGAGGCCATTATCCACCCACTTGGGGACTACACACCACCCCTTTGTGACTCCTGGTATATGTACATTTGCAATATTTTGCAATCATTCTTTGCCCCACCCAAGCCCTATCCGCATTGGTTGCCGCTAGGAAGCCTTGATCCGGGAGGCCGCCGCATGGCTGACGCAGACGGCGTCAGAGCTGGGATTGTTGGAGCCTTTTGGGGATCGCGAAACGGAACAGCTCCCTACTTGGGGCTTTGGTGCAGAGTCTGCCATCCGAACTGGTGTGGCGATGGTCTGACCGAGCGGTGCTATTTGTCATGTCGACGTAGGATTAATCAACCCCCCTTCAAGGTCAACAAGGTCAACAAGGTTTGGGATTGGAGGGATTAGATGCCAACAATTAATAGGGGGGTTGGTAAATCCTGTGTGCGCATTATCTATTCGTTGTTTGTGCATTGGTAATTCGCTAGGTATACCTATGGAATCCTATGGATTATGTCCAAGGGTCCTGGCAACAGACAAGATCACTAATTAGTCTATATAGTTTTTTTTGCCGGCTGTTTTTTCCCCAGATTCTTTCGCTTCTGGGTCGGAAGACCCATATTGCAGGGCTTTGGAGGGTTTGACCCCCAAAAGAAAGAGATCTTTTCTGGGGCCTTCTTTAGGCCTTTAAATTTTGACAAAAGACGTTTCGCTTGAGCGAAACCAGTGGTCTTCACATCCACTATAAATACTATTGGGCATCGGCGTAAGTAATTGACCTGGCGGTTTCCACAGTGGTGTGAAACAGTGGACCTGGCAGATTTGGGCAATTTCCTAGATCCACATCAGGTCTCTAGGGATGCCTGAATTGAATTGTGGGTATTGGACTGGCCCTCCAGGTGCTAGGCAAAGAAATACCCTAGAGGCCTAGAGTCAAAACCTAGCGCTCCCCACCCATGAGGAGTTGCCAACCTCTCCCAGCGTCCAAGGAAGGCACCTTAGGCTGACCGGCTTCGGATTGACAAGCCTCCCCCGTAGCTGGCCGACCTGTGGAACCGAGGCCTCTTGGGGTTTGCCAGTGGTGCTGGTGCTGCTTGGCATACGATCTTGTGGAAGGGCTTGGAGGGGAGTGGCGCCTGCACATGCTGGAGGAAACTTGAGGTCCTTTTATATAGTCTTTATTGTTATTGTTATTATTATATTATTATCTATTGTTATTACAGGAATATGGTATCTTCACAAAGACATCTTGGTTTGATCAACCTAGTCAACACAATCCGTTGATCGTCTAACAGTTCAACAATTCTAGATCACCCCAGTCATCACCCTAGTCATGTGGCGATGTTTGGAGCAACTTGTCACCCTCACTTGTGACGAGTTCCTCCAAACGTCCCCATCCCTCCAAACCCGTCTTCTCCATCTTCCCCGAAACCCGAAACCCGAAAACATCCCCACCCGAGCCACCAGAGCCCAGGCCTATTTTCTAAAGCACCCGAGCCCAGGCCTATTCTCCCTTTTGAAAAGAGAAGCAAGGAAGGCCAGAGCCACGGAACCTCAGAAACCACTGTCACAGATGGTTTTTTTGGCACCGGCTCTTCCCGGCTCTTACCGGCTATCCAGCCAAGGCTCGTGAGCGGAGGAGCCTTGGACATCTCGAGCATCCAGGACTTGGTCTCGGGCGTCCTTTGGATGGGCTTCTCGGGACTGGACACCAGGGACACCCGGGGGGGGGGGGGAATCGGTCATGGAAGTGGACCAAAAAAGGGCCACGGGCAGGCAAAGGTTTGGGTTTGTCTTGTGTGGAGGGATGGGCCTTCATCGAAGCCATCATCCTGATCTGCATTGCACAGCCCATTGGTCACGAACGTGAGCCGGCCTGGCGCCGGATGCCGATTCCGTAGCTTCTGATCGGAGAAGGAGACAGGTGTCAAGACAGGGCGCATTTCCGTGATGTACACTGCCGAAAACTCCATAGACCCTGCCAATGGCCCCCCTGAAAAATGTTTTCCTCTACCAACCAGTGGTTTTCAGGGTCCATGTTAGTCTTCCAGGGTGTAATTTGTGTACATTTAGAGTCGGGAGACCAGGGAGACCCTCCCAACCAATGGGCTTTGATCGAGTTTCCTTCTTCCATTTTGATACACACCCTTTTCCTCCAATGTTGGCAATCATGTTGGCTTGGCCAGATTGGGCAAATCACCTTCAACATCCTTCAACCCATTACAGCAACTTCCGCTTCGCATCTCCCAAATGCCACGCCACCAGCTCCGGCACACTTCCACCACCAGCTCTGTTTGCGCACTTCCACACTCGTGCTTCCGCGCACTCTGCAGGTTATCCTGGGCAGATGGGTGGCAAGGCCTTGGCGCAGCTACTGGTTGGTGAGGTCTCGCCCAGTGGGCGTCTCTCCCAGACCTTCTACAGCCGCTCGGGAGCGGGTTCAGACGTGGCGGACGGAGACTTCGTGCGACGTTCGTTCGGAAGGAGATCAGCCGGTGGTTTCTGGATGCTTTTGAAGCTGTGCGAGCGATTTTAATATACTGGGCCTATGCCGATGTACGACTAACAGTTGACTAACATGTACTAATGTATAGAAGATTTGCCTGGATTGGGGATGATTGGGGTGATTTCAAGATGCTTCAAGGGTTGATGTATAGGTAAATATGATTGCCACAATCTGCTGGGATCAGTGTGTTTGCCAGAGAGTTGGTGAGTATAGGCCAGGTGAGTCGGAGGTTCTGGAGGACAAAAAGCAGGACCATCCAGAAGGCCCAGAAGGCTTGCTCGCTGTCTTCTGACAACAGATGGCTTGTTTCAGCAGGCAATATGTCTCAATGTGTGGAAGATTTGGATGTGTTCACATGGGTGCTGGCGCCCCACAACTGGGACTGCGGATGCGTCGATGCGTGGACCTTTGTCCAAAAAATCAGGGGATCCTCCCTCTCTCCTATTTCCCCTCACGTGACCTCGACGTTGTCTATGTCAAGACTCAACAGCGAATTGGGTATTCCCACTCGCCTCCCACCCGACCTCCGGTTGGCGAATGCTTCCCCTCCCCACGGCCTCCACACGGCCGTGCCGAGCGAGGCGGCGACGCCCGGTGCGGTTCGTTTCGCCCGCCCCGCTCGGAAGAGGAGCGTGGTTGCTCCGTGTGGTTGGTCCGTGTCGCCCAGGGGAGGAGTACTTCCAGCACGTGCCCATGCAAGACTACAGCTTTCCTGCTCGCGCAGACTATCCAGGGCGAGGCTATCGCTTCGTCGAGGAGACGAGACGATGTTCCGAGACGAACGGTCTCAGAACATCGGGTGCGGTGTACGAAGGAGAGCGAGCGGCATAGCGGCGTAGCCATGCTTCTGGAGGTGTTCACGTTCCTGCCATGAAAGTGAAAGGTGGACTTGGGACTTGGGAACCCTTTGAAGGACAAGTTCATGTAGGCATGACACCTTCTGCCTACATGCCGTCATGGCCATTTCAATCATGTGTCACGTATTGTCACGTGCGTTCACGTGGCACCCAAAAACGGCGTCCATGCTCGATGTCGCGCGCAAGTTTGTCGCGCGCACGCCCCAGTAATTAGGGGAGTCGAAGAAGCGCCGCCTTTCGACGAAGCGCCGCCTTTCGCCACCACGACTGGCCAGGACAAGTGGGTTCTCTACCCTTTCGGCTTTGGCCTCTCCTACGACACCTTCTCGCGCCTTAACCCCGATACCTTCGGGTGTGGAGAGATGCCGGTGGACGGGCCCGACGAACGACGCACCAGCCCAGACCCCGGCGGTTGGGACCGATCACAGTCCGACCACAGGAAGACCATGGAATACCCATCGATGCGCGAAGGCTTTTTGAGATCCAAGTAGGCTTCCTCTGGAAGTTCTGTCAGAAATTCCAGAGGTTGGTTATGGTTGGAGCTGAGGTGATGTTGGATAGGGGTGCTTCGGGGGGATCTCTTGGGGGGCATTCGTCTTGAACGGTCAGAATCATGCGAGATACCCCAAGCAGCGACACATCCATATATAGCGACGACATGAAGCCGCTGCGTCTCGGCGATCCCAGTTCTTCCCCAGAATGACCAACCCAGTGATGGGCTCCGGATCCGTCTCCTTTCGTCTCCGTTTCTGAGGTACACGTGGGTCGAGCAGAAGGAGAAGGCCTTGGAAGAGGAGAGGGGGGGATTCTGGTGTCCTGGTCTGAGAAGCTTCTTGAAGCTTCTTGAATGACCATATGGACGCCGCTCTCAACTGTTCCATTTGTAGCTGAACAAGGTTCGTGATTCTGTGGAGATCCACCAACACACCTCTGCCGTTGGCAGATCTGTGCTGTGACGAAGCCTCATCATAGATATATCGTTAGTGAAACCCATCGTGTCATATACTTTGCTTGCAATTCTGCGATCATCCGATTTTTCAGCTTTCTGTGGCTTTTGGAATGACACCCATCCATCAGAATGGTCCTCCAAAACCACCCAAAAGCGCTTCAGCTGCAGGACCGCAGGAGCCGCAGCTGTCGCTTCCAGGCGAGCGACCGGTCACCCGGAAGCGACAGCTGTCCGTTGAAGCGTCCTGAAGCTTGGGTCCTGAAGCGACCGGATGACGTATGACCGGGGACATGAGTGACTGAAGTATATCTTACATCCTCCTTACATGTACCTCCTGTGCTTACGTTCTTTGCCATGTTTTTTTTTGGGGAGTCACTTTTATAGAAACATGCGTGCCCATATGATAGGGGACCCTGGAAAGATAAGATCGAGGGAAGTGCAATTATTAAAAAATACGGATTCCAGAATATGGATACCTCATGACATTGACTGGAGTCTGCCTGAAGTATTGTCATTTTATAAAGCACTTTATAGAGACTGATGCCTTGCAGATCATTTTATAGCAGCTAAGTAAGTGTTTATAAAACGTAATATGCCACCTGAATGTATCAAGTAAGGGGATTACTGTATCTTACTAGTGACAATCTTAACAACACCATGACCAAGATCCACTATTCCTTAACTAACTATCCTTAACTTTTCGTTGTTTGGCAATTTCGCAGAAGCTTCATGAAGCGACGACTCAGTCTGCGACGACTCAGTCCAATCCATGTCGACCCTGTCGGGAAAGCCACCCTAAACTCGACACTCAAGAAAGCGTCAGCGCCGCCTGTTCATTCAATCCGTGTATCACCAAGCCGAGCCTTTGCGATTTCTTCCTTAAACCAGGAAGCACGACCGGGACCCGGGTTCGGCACGACTGGCCCTCCTGGCGCCGACAGAAATAGTCATGAAACAGTCCTATATAGTCTTCAATCACCTTCTCAGAAGGTATGTGAATCCAGAGGTCAGAGGAGAACAAGATTGAACAGAAAAAACCTTCACGCGGATGGTTCTGCCTACGGCGCCCGCGCGCTGTTTTGGGGTCGGACCTTCGTGCCAGGTCCAGGTCTCCTCCCGTGAGGGTACGGGCAGTTCGCTGCTGTGCCTTGGCGTCGCGGACTCTGCGGGGCTTGAGGATGGCAAGTTGGGGCACCGGATGCCCTAGAGATTCCACGTCAAGGTACATGGTTTTCGCTTGGTCTTTTTCCACGTTTTGAGGCACCGATCGGTGTGCAAGTTGAGCCAGAAGCCGATCGGTGTTTTGGGTCAAAGTCGGGAGACCGGCCAGGTCCTTTTCCTCAAGATGAAGAGGTCATGGACATGACTGGACCACCTGGGAGGTCAACTATCGGTTTGAAGCTCCATGTTTTGATCCCTTCCCAAGTGGTGCTGCATGGTGGTCTTGCCCCTTTTTTAAAGGTGACATGAATGGCCAGTGGTTTGTTAGGGTGTGTGTGTGTGTGACTTTTGATCGAAGAGCCTCAATCAATGCTGGTGGTTCTAGGAGTAACCCATGCAGAAAGTACCACGCGTTCTACCGCTTCTGAGAAACTGCTTCTGAGGCATGCGCAGGGGGGACGAAAACATATGTTTGCAACGTTGCGTGCCTGGCGGTGCCATGAGGTTCTTCCTCCGGCCTCCGGCGGAGGTGGCTGGGGTCGACGGGATGCTGCGCAAGAAGCTGGTGCACTTCGAGCGACTGCCGCCCGCCAGGCCGTGCTATACACGGGTTCCGTGTAAAAAAGGGCCGCTGTTCCGCTGGGGCGGCAGATGGAAGGAACCTGTTCAAAGGTATCCCCTTGGAGCCCCCACAAGTGCCACATGACTCATTTTACCCAGAAGTGGTGGATTATGACTCCCCGTGGGGTAGCTGAATCCACGACCCTTCTGCCAGGAAACTCGGAGACTGGTTTACCTAGGGACCACAGTACCACACTTCGGAAGATCATCGGACGGCAGCTTGTTTGGCCCGTCTGACCAGTAACGGCGGTGCAAGGCTCGAGTTTTGCAGGAATGCAATGGGTGTGAATGGGTTTGACCTTTCATGCTGACCGGTGGATGGCATGGCCCAGCAATTTTCAACAAACAGGCAGTGGATGTTCCACTTGCTTGTTTGTTGGAGGGTACCGGGTAGAGAAAAGCACACATAGACACCCTCCAAACAATTTAGTTGCTAGGTCCGGCCACGGGTACATACAAGACGTGGCAGACGTGAGAAATGTGACTGAGTTGCCTCGGCTCAAAACAACGAGAATGCCCCAAAGATGTCAGTCTTAAATTGCAAACTTTCGTTGGGATGTGAGACTGTCACACCCATAGCATCCGCTTGTCCACATTCACGCAGGAATTTACTAGGGCGGTGCTTTCAATAGCAAGAACTTAGGCTTCACGTCCACGTTGCAAGATCAACATCTGTTTGTTCTTCGGTTGTTGAAGTTCCAACTCTCATGAACACACCCTTCCGGAGTTTGTTCCGGAAGCCAGCTCCAGCTCTTGTTTTCCAGCTCATGTTGACTATTGATGAATCAAAGACCTCAACGGAGATGTAGTCGATTCTGGAATCCACCGATCTGTATGACTCAACAGTCTACTCCTCCGGAGTGTGGAGGCAACTCCGGGAGACACCCGGGCGATCGAGATCGCCTGCGCCGCGCCGGGGTATGTTCTGTTTGATTGTCCGAAGCGAACCCAGGGGGAACTGTTTGTTGGTTTGTTTCCTATTTGAACTACAGACCAAAACTGGGGGGACCGAACCGCTTGACCACCAAAGGTGAACAGAATAGACGACCCGAACCAGGGAGGTCAATTGACCATCGTTGTGGGTCCCGGGCTCCGGGTTCCATGATCCACAGCCATGCAGAGTGCCATGCAGATGGGATTTCAAGATGCAAGGTTTAGGGCCATAGATTTAGAACCCAGCAGTGTCTTTGTTCTTTTAGAAGCTAGAAAAGTGAAGGCCATCGGCCATCGCTAGTATAGGTTGGAGGCCATCACTATTAGGTTGGCGGCCATCGCTACTAAGTATATATAGTAACAAGAAGCTACTAGTAACAAGATGTTTGAACTACATGACACGACTGGCTTCCAGCGAGAATGAAGACCTGCACATTCCCAGGCGGCTGTCCGTCTTTTTTGCCCGCCAGGTCGCAAGTGGTCTCTGTGCGGCTGACGCCCAAGGAGCGGATCCGTGATGATCCGTGATGATCGGTGGGAGGCCATCGCTAGTAGGTTGGAGAATGGGGGAAGCTTCTGGGGTAGACATGGAAGCTCAAATGATCTGAAATCCGGCTTCTCGAGCCTGGCTGTTCGTGGACGGAAGAGCCTCTCATCGAACACCAACGAACCGTTGAACTGACCTTCGTTCACCTGTCTGGGCTGCACAGCCACCTACTCCAAGTGAAGGACCATGAAGGAATCTGTCAGGGTATAGCATCAGCCTGCTAGAAGCATCGGCCATGGGCCATAAGGTTGTTACATTCTGACGAACACATCGCATGGTTTCTCTTGGTGGTCACCATGTGGATGGCATGGCCGCGATGTGGAAGATCGCAGGACTTCCGCCTCTTTGCGGGCACCGAAGCAGAGAAGAGGCTGATCACTGGGAGGTGGACCTTAGAAGTGTTGCTTGGCGTCACAGATGGGCAAGCAGAGAGGAGCTGCCGGGACCAGCCATCATGGACAATAAAAGGCGTAGGGACCCGTGGAAACAACATGAAACAGCTGTGGATGGGTATGGTATGATGCCTTTCAGGCCAAGCCATGCATGAGGACTGTACTTGTCACTACAAAGAGGTAAAGATGCACCTGTCGGACGGCGTCGGCTCGTTGCCGCCTTTGGGAACCCGATCAGAAGCAGCTTGGTTCGATCCTTTTTGGTGTATCCATGTGTATCCCAAGACTGGCAGAACCGGAAGTTCCATGAAGTTCGACTGGAAGACACATGGAAGAACGATGTAGTAACAGATCGATCGATCCACCGAGTCTCTCGACTGTTCCTTTTCAGTCGGTCTGGTGCCATGACCGGTCTGGTGTCAGATCCGGATCGGTGAAACATCCGTTCACCCGAGGCATCGGGGGTCATGACCGGTGGCCAAACCACGTGGTGTCTGTTTAGTACCTATGCTGTTGACCGCGTTTTGGGCTTGTTGTTGTTTCGTTTGCTCTAAGGAATCAGCCGACAGATCTGAGCCAAGTGATCCATGTGACCAACCATGGCTGTATGGCGGGAGAGGGGCCGATCTTGCTGTGACCTGGAGAGGCGGGCATACGACAAAGGGTGCCACGCATTCGGCGCATCGCTCTTCGGAGCAGAAGCAGCACATCGCTTCGGAGCCCGGTTTCGAAGGCTTTCGGAATATGAACATGAGAGTTTTTTACAGGCAAAAGACAATGTCGTCACCTTTTTTTGAGTGATTGCCACCCTGCCTTGGGGGGAAGGCTCTGCGGACAGTCGTCTCTTTTTCCCAAACACAAGATGTACAGTATGTTATATGACATGGGTTTTGGACCCTCATGTTATAGAGAACATATGAGTACCGGACAGAATTACTGTAAGTCAGCAGTAGTCTTCGGCTGGACATCGTTTTGTATGTTTTTTTTCTAAACAGTGATTGGACTGCGAAACCGATAGGGGCCCACCCAAAACCGATACCCTCTAACATGGGTGATGGCTCACCCAAAACCGATACCCCAAAGAGTTGTTGATGTATAAGAAAACCTGAGATAACCTGAGACCGATAGGGTACCACCAAATTACATGTAAAGAGATGCCGAAACCTGAAAACCGATAGGGTTATGTCATGTCGGGCACGCCAGCCATAGATGCAAGGAGCCAAAATAACTTTATAAAGCAAAAACAACGCAAAAAAAAGAAAGGTAAAGCAAACAAAAAAGCAAACAAATGTAGCTGTGCGTATTTGTCGCTTTTTTTCACTCTTTTTTTTCACTTTATTTTCGCATTTTTTAAAGCTTTATTTTCGCATTTGTTTCGCTTTTCTGTTTTTTTTTACGCTTTTTTCCTAGGAGGGTACAGCAAATATTGCTGACGGGTAAACGTTCTCATAAGTACAGAAGTGGTACCAGGAAAAAAGCAAAAAAAAAGCAACAAATGCAAAAACAAAGCAAATTGCGCTGCTTTTGCATTTTCATTTGCTTTTGTTTTGCTTTTTTTTTTTTCCGCTTTTTTTCACAAAAAAGTATTTGATGGTTGGTCATGTATGGCTGCCACTGCCCAACACAACACAACGATAGGGGCCCACCCCAATTATAAACGTCCTTTGCGGGTCATAAGTAATATTGTCCGACACATCCTATGGTTTTGGAATGTTTTGGAGTCTTACAACTGCTGATGGTTCCAGGTGTTTCATGGTGTTTCCATCGAACGGAACGAGGCATGGCAGTTTGCTGTAGGACGCTGACAGAGGTCGATGCTGCAATGCTAAGAGAGATGTGGCCCTAAGAAATGACAATCTACCTTTCCAGATCCGATCTTTCTAGTCTTCAGATGAAGGACAGGACAGTCGGATAGGCTGCTTTTATACAGGAATATCTCCTTTATTCAATGCACGTGCCAATTGTGCACAACATGTCTTGAAGGGCTCGTTGAAGCTGATTGCCTGCACCCGAGAGTGTTTTCTCGCTCAGGCAAAGGCGGGTGTAAAGATGACCAGACAACGTGGCCCGGTTTTGATTCTGCATGGCCCCCACGATACCGCAGGGGCGAATTCCAGAATTTTTGGCAGCCAGACAACATTTAGGCCGAGGGGATGTACTTTGATGGGCGCATGAGTCGCCATCCCCGGAACCGACCATCGAGGTCGGCTGCACATTTGCGGTAGTATAGGCGGCTAGGCGAATTCATCGCAGCGATCGAAGGGACAGGAGCTGCGAGCTGCAATCAAGCTCAAAATACAATGTCTTCATTCCTTCTGTTGCCTGATTTGGCATCTTTGGCATTTTTGTCGCCTTCCTTTGGCTTCCCTTAGTATCCTTGAGCTTCACTGAATGAAACACACATGTTGCAGTAACCCTGCCGAAGACTGCATGATCATACCTCCTTTCGAAGCTCTGCGATGTGCAAAAAAAATTGGTAATTGGCATGCTGAAAGCGCGTGATCGCGTCCGGGCATGGGAGCGTTTCAGCTAGCATAGCTAGCATGCAGGCTGTGAGGCTGGCAGTGATGCTGGTCTATACCAGCTGCTTCCGTTCGGGGTTACCAATGGACTACACTGCCCATGGTCGGTCACCATTGGACACCCATTTGGAACCGCTATCTATCTCCATCTATCTCCCCCCAAAAGCTCTCTTCTCATTGTGAAAACATGGTCGCCCCCCATTCGTTGGAAGCTCCGCGCTTTCACGACAGACTCTTAGGCGCGACCGGCAAGCGGTGATCCGGGAGGCCTCCCAGCAGGATGGTAACTCGGCGGCAAACGCCGGTGACGTGGAAGGGGTGTTGGGAGCAGGCTGAGGCGAACTGGGAGCCGAAATTGGGACGAACTGGGAGCCGAAACAATCTTGACAGATCGTCCCCATCCTCACATATCTCTTCATCCTGCAGATAGATGTGTTACCGTGACCGTGTTATCTAGTCTGTACCCTTAGATTCTGCCTCGAACATGATTCAACTAGCTTCGATCGAGGACTCAAATTGAAGATGTTGGGAACCTGTGAGGCCCGCTCCAGACACCACAGTGTCACCAGTCCCCTCAGCCCATCCGAAACTCGGGGCGACCCGGTCACCGACCGCACGCGCCCGGAGCGACGCGTGTCGTTGGAGCTGAGGTTGGACGACCTTCGGCCGCTTCTCCAGCGCACTTTGGGAGACCTTCGTGGATGTGGCCCGGTGGGTTGATACCTGCGAGGTGGGTTGAGAGAGTTTGGGGAGACAGATGAATGGATGGATAGATACCAGTAGCACCCCAATGTCATTGGATGGAACACATACACACTCTGACACTTGTATTCAGTGAACTCAGTTACCACGTTGGGAAGGAAGGTGAGGGAAACGTAAGGTGAAAAAGTCAGCGCAACTGAAATGTTTAACAATCTGTTCACTCATCTGCAGAAGCGCGGCTGAACGTCGGCGGCTGAAGGCAGCGGTGGGAAACCTGTTTTGGGTTGGTAGCGTGAAGAACCATGAATCAAAAAGTGGAGAAGTAGAGTCACAGCGTGGAAAAAAGTTTCGGTCGCAGGTACAGGAATGTGCGTCCACATTCCCTTCCGGCTGAATCCCATAGCTTCGTTGGCATGGCTAGGGAAACAGCTGCCATGCCCCCTGCCTGATTGGAGTGGTCGAAGGAAACCCTTTGTCCAGGGGTGGACACACACAAGTCGCCGGCTTCGGCGCTTTTTCAAGACACCCCCTACCGTTGAACCAGTGGACGAAAACCTTTTGCCCAGGGGTGGACACACACACACACAGAGCCGTTTTCGGCGCGGTCAAAGTAGTAGTAAGGCCAGGGGCCTCCAGTAGCGTCCTAACTCCCAGGGGAACATTTGTACAAAAAGCGCCAAATTGTTGGCGCAACGAAGAACTAGTAGACACCTAAAAAGCCTTAGAAAGACAGAAAAAGCAACGAAACAAGAGCAGACTAAGAGGGCAAGAAAGAAAAGAAAGAAAAGTAGGGTAGTTACGAGGCCCACTTAGTTAAACAAAAGTAGAAGGCGAGCGGGACATTCGTCTTAAACCGCCCGGGTAACTAGCAATAGCTAGGAGAAACAGAAGGAAAGGCACCAACACACAAGTGTGTTGAGTGCGATTTCCTTCTGTTTCCCGAGTAGCGGGTGGGATAGCAACGGAGGCCTGGGGGTAGGGAGGGGGGGGGGGGGTGTGCATGATGAATTCATCCGGCCTGTGAATACTTAGCAGCGCAGGCATGTGAATACTTAGCCGTCAAGTATGCTCAGGCTAACGAGTTTGAGTTCTTCAGTCTCCGAAATCTGATGTATTCGAAAGTAACCGTTTTTGGGCCCGGTGGCCAGTGGATCGGTTGATTCAGTGGGGGTGTCGGTGACTGCCAGTGAGGGTCCAATGAGCGGTGGTGCTTTGGGGTGGTGGCTTTCCCATGTAAAAACGGCGCCCCTGTGACGGGGATCACACTCAGCACCCGAGTGGGACGGCTGAGCGAAACACACTCTGACACTTGTATTCAGTGAACTCAGTTACCACGTTGGGAAGGAAGGTGAGGGAAACGTAAGGTGAAAAAGTCAGCGCAACTGAAATGTTTAACAATCTGTTCACTCATCTGCAGAAGCGCGGCTGAACGTCGGCGGCTGAAGGCAGCGGTGGGAAACCTGTTTTGGGTTGGTAGCGTGAAGAACCATGAATCAAAAAGTGGAGAAGTAGAGTCACAGCGTGGAAAAAAGTTTCGGTCGCAGGTACAGGAATGTGCGTCCACATTCCCTTCCGGCCGAATCCCATAGCTTCGTTGGCATGGCTAGGGAAACAGCTGCCATGCCCCCTGCCTGATTGGAGTGGTCGAGCTGCCATGCCCCCTGCCTGATTGGAGTGGTCGAAGGAAACCCTTTGTCCAGGGGTGGACACACACACACACACACTGGTGTCCAAAAACCAGACCGGTGCTGGTCGATGGGCGAGGAGGACCTAAGGTGACCCTTCTGAGCGTGGGGAAACCCCCGGTTCTCCATGGAGGAGTCAATGAAGCCAAGTGAGGAGGGAAATCGATTTAAGGATTCCTCCAACCTTTTTGAGTGGCGTAGTTCTATTCATTAACTTGAGTGCGCTCTATTCCAAAGGCTGCAATCAAGTTACCTATCCATGATATGGTGGCAGCAAGCCTGCAGCCGCCCATTTTGTGATAGCCTATTAGATGTGTTGTTTTTTGTGTTAAAGAGCCTTGCTGGCCATGTGGTTCAGGCCAGACACATCAAGAGATATGCATCAAGATACACAGTTGGTAGATATCATTTATTCTGTATTAATATATACACGTATATATAATACACGTATTATATATCATGACATTAATAACATTATTCGTATCAAAGAACATATATATATATATACATAAATGGCTACGGCCAAAAACATAAGGCTTGGACCACACACCCAAACCCACACACGATCCATACCTCGATCCATGGGGTATGGATCAAAAGGTGGGCGTTTTAGATCCAAGCCCTTGGATCACACAACCACCACCACCACTGCTACAACCACCTCTGCTGCCACCACTCCTTCTGCTACTGCCACTGCACTTGCCACCTGCTGCTACTACTGCAACAGCTTTACTACTGCTGCTGCTACTGCTACTCACTACTATCACCAGTATTACCACCACCACAGATTTAGCGGAAGCCACTAGACTCAACTTCAAATTGACTTCCCATTCCAGCCAAAACTAATTACCGGAAGCCACTAAGTGTGGTCACAGCCGGGACTCGAACCACCACTACTACAAACCACTGCTACAACCACCTCTGCTGCCACCACTCCTTCTGCTACTGCCACTGCACTTGCTTGCAACAGCTTTACTGCTTTACTGCTGCTGCTACTGCTACTCACCACTATCACCAGTATTACCACCACCAAATCTGCGGAAGCCACTAGACTCAACTTCGAATTGACTTCCCATTCCAGCCAAAAATTAAGTACTGGAAACCACTGAGTGTAGTTACAGCTAGGACTTGAACCCTAACACTGTCGAAGTGAAGAATTGGAAACCGACGCTTTTACTATTAGGCTATGCAACCCTTTGAGTGGAGAAGCCAACCTAAATAACCCATATTAAAGAAGGTGCTAGAACACAATATTAAGGCCAAACAGAATTAGCGGCAGCCACTAACCAGTGTAATCTAGAGCTGAAGCCACCACCTGTTAAATGTCTTGAGAGACCACTGAGTCACCAATATGCGTTGGCCAGCTGATGGCCTTTTTGGGCTTCTTGCATCGTCTGCTTGAGTTGGAGAAGGAATGAGCCCCAACGCTCATTGCCACCACTCTATACCCAACCATGCCCAATATGTGGACAGTGGAGCCCAAAATCACAGCGGCCAGAACTTCAAAACAGGCTGATCTGGGAAGCCACCACCTTCACAGTGAATAGGTGAGAAAGTGGTGGGGTGAAGTGCCACCATGCAGATGTGTTCATGTCGGGGGCTTGGATCAAGTGACTTGTCGGTTTGATCCATAGGGCTTGGATCAGCGCTCTGATCCATAGGGTTTGGATCACTCTCACTGCAGCGCGGAACGATCCATACCAAGGTTTCTGGCCACACCCATTAAATATGACTATGTATATATACATGTATATCATGTATCTTTCAGGATCTATCTATCTATCTATCTATCTATGATGTTTTATTTCACAGTTAAAGTTAAAGCTACACATAGCCAGCCTTGCACCTGCACCGAGGTCGCCACCTCCCGAGCGCCGCGCGAGCGGAAGGGGTGCGGTGGTGGGCGATTGGAACGTGCGGAAACGGGTGGAAAGGGATGCGTGACACATGGTGACAACCGGATGCCGGACACTCGGTGAGCCGGATGGGGTAATTCAATGAATCAGTCCGGGAGATATATCTCTTGACCTGTATAGTAAACATGGAGGTGTAAAGATGGATTCCTTTGAGGGTTTCCTCCACCTATTTGTCGTTTCATGTCGTTTCTGAAAGGCTCCTTTGGGCCTTTCGTTTTGAAACAGAACTTGAATTCCTCCACGCCCTGGATTTCAGTCACTGGTTGTGGCAGCTTGAGTGGGTGCATGCATCCCGCAGCTAGTGAGCTCGTTGAAGATTTGTGCCCAGTCGACATAAAGCAGTTCCGGCCACTTGGTCAAGATGTGTGTGTGTGTTGTCTGACAAACTGTGAGAATTTACTAAAGACCGTGAAGCAAGGGATGGTTGATGGATGTTGATGGTGAATCAGGGCCTCGCACATTCCACCGGAGGTTGCAAGAAACAGCACTCTCCCCGAACTTTGCGTCGTGACATCTTCAATTGGATGGCCCGTCATGGTGCGGTCCAAAGACTATTCCAGACCCACCAGACCCTGTCTGCACCAGTCCAAAGATTCGTATTTCCAGACCCACCAGACCCTGTCAC